GCAACTCCATTCAAACTCTCCTTGGTAACCCTAAGGATAAAATTCCATTCTTAGAAAAGTCGGGGATATATGAAATTAGTTGTAATGACTGTAGTAAAAAATATATTGGACAAACTAGACGTTCAATCAAAACCAGATTTAAAGAACATCTAGCTCATGCTAGGTTTGGTAGAGAAGAAAAATCTAGTGTTGCCCAACATATTCTTACTGATGGACATAATATTAATATTAATAACCTTAAGTTAGTTAAAGAAGTTAGGAATAATCGTTTACTAAACAGTTTTGAAAGTTTATACATTTATAAAAATAAACAAATTGTTCTTAACAATGACAACGGTCCCATCCCTGGATCTCCGCTATTTAGTTTAGTTTAATTACGTTTATGATGATGATGTTAAGGTCCATTGAACATCTACCTTGTTGGCTTCGGGTCATGTTCACTGAACCTTAACAACTATCAGTATAAATTAGGATTAGTTCTCATTTAGGTTTAGTTTACTTCAGTCCCTGAAGAAGGTAACTTTGTTACCGAAAAGTGCTTCGGACAACTACAGTTGCGTGTTTTGGCGTTTGGGTTTTTGAGCTATTCTGTTTGTTCTATATTTGGCTTGAAGATTCTCTTCAAAAATTCAAAACTCTGATTCTGTTTGAGCTAAAAACTTGATTTCTTTTTCACTGTAAAGCTAGAAGAATTAATTTTCACAAAAAAATTGTTTCAATAAAAATTATTAACTAATTCGTATTGTTATAAACAATATAATATTTAAATCGGTTTTAACCAGTTGCTCCCATCTCGTAGCTTGTGTGCTGGTGAAAAACAAGGAGGAAAAGACGCATGTGATGTAAGTAGAAACGTAGATATTTTCATGAAAAGTAAGAACACCTAGCAATTTAAGAAAATATCAAATGCTTAATTTATTGATAAACAAAAAGGTTTATCGTTATGCCACAGTCTCATTTATATTTATTTCAAACTAGCTTTTCCCTGCGGCTTCGCTCGCAGAAATGAATATCGTTTCTCCGTAAAACCTTTTAACTCCCAACTCACCCTTACAACGTTTTAATTTTATGTAATGTCGCCATCCTTAGATTTCAAATACAAACGTGGCAACAACATNATAATCGTATATACGAGAGACAGAACCGATACGACACACCAATATAACCAATTGCTTTTCATTAGTAATAATAATTTCTCCATCAATTAAAAATACGTCTTTGATAGAAAATTTGATGTAAAACACGATGGTTGTATTAAAAACTCGCTACATGGTGTGGGAAATTGTTTAAAACTGATTTAACATTTGAATTGTTTATAACAATAAGAATTTGTTAATACTTTTTATTAACATTAAAATGAAAAAAAGACTGCTTTTCTGTTTACAATTTATTTACCCATTTACACCAATTGATTGGGTTAGATAAAATTGACTTGAATTGGTATAGTTGAGTTATAATGTCTAACTGATTTTTATGGTTGAATATGATATTGAATTTGATTTGAATATGAATATTCTCTACCTAAAACATTTTTTTAATCTTTTGAGTGTTTTATTCCGACCAGCCTCTAATGTTGGTGGGCGGGCAGTCCCTCCGGACTACGCCATTTGGTAGGGCAGAAGACCCTCTTTAGCCTCCTTTCAGGAATCGTGGGAATGGGTGGGTGGTGGTTCGGGTGAGAAAAATGAGACGAACGAAATGAAGACAGAAGAGAATGAAAGATTATCTGTGGAATATTACTGCCCCAGCATTTGTCTAAGTGATCCAAGGAGACCACAAAAAAACTTGGACCAAGGCAGACGGACCTGGAATTGAACCAGCGTCCTCCCGAATGCTAAGCAATGGCCTAAACCTCTTGGCGATGCCGCTCGGTATTTTCTACTTTTGGTCCAGGGCTTAAATAGTCTGTACCAAAATAGGACACCCCCCTCAAGTAAAACAGACCCTTCTTTTGCTGTTGCTATGAATCCTTCAGGTACCCAGGTGACGTAGTTGGGAACTTGGACTTTCCCAATATTTGATACCTACCTGAAGCGTGTAATAAAGAGGTCCAAAGTTGTTTGTGAACACAATTTGAAGTTACACAGAAATCATGACATACAAATACAATATACAAAATAAATACAAACTAAAAACACTAAAATATACAATTATACAAATATCGAACACATCGACACCGAACAGCTTATCTATCTAAATTTCTTTGTTATTTCTAATTCGTGAAATATTGTATCTGTCTACTGTTATTCCAATTGTACTTCTCGATGACATCTCCAGAAGTAGTTTCCTCCTGGAGATTCGAATGGGGAGTATTTTACTTCCGGTATGTTGTAACCCAACGGTCGTCATCATTTCAGATTTAGTTTGTTGTACTTAGGATATCATAATGTGGTGGTTTTCCATGGAATTCCAGTGTTGTGTATCAGAGTGCTATACCATGGTCTTTACCACCCTGAGTATTGAAAGAACTCTACAATTAGCCTGGTTTCGCATGACATATGTTTAAATAAAATTTTGTCCACTTGGATCCTGTTATTGTTTGTATCAAAGCGCACATATCCAAACATACACAGTTTGTTCACATTTCAGTGCTTATCATTAGTATGTGTATTGGTTACTGAATAAAGTAAAGCAACGGATAAATGGGGATGTTTTACAGAAATAATGCTCGCAAAAAAAATATTTTAGATACATTGCCATTTGAGATACATACTTTGGAAAAACTCGATGTCAGTCTTTCTCAATAACTCGATGCAATTGGATATTTCTTAGTATAATAATCACAAATTAGAAATTTTGAATAGAAAAAAGCTATCTAAGTTAACGCGAAAATGATGCTTCACCATTTTCGCATTTATCTTTAGATAAACGTTTAAATATATTATCCATTAAATTTTTTTTATATTTTATTTTCTGTCTTTTTCGTTCATAAATTCGATATATTTTAAATTCAAAAAAATTATCTGTGAGTGCCAATGACTACCTGATAAAACTTTTGGAACTGATGCAAATACTATAAATATCAGAATAACTATCATAATTATGGATATCCTGGTAGCGATTTATAATTTATTATGAAGGTGTTCCTGCTTATAACTTTAATTTCCCTTCTTCTCGGTAAGTGTAATTACGTATCATGTACCTTTTGTTTGAATTCAAATTTAGTTAAGTGATTTACGTTGTTGGTAGGAATCGGGGCCCTCCCTGGGCAATTTGATATCGCTGAAGGCGAAGTGAGGATTGTCGGCGGAAACGCATCGACTATAGAACAATTTCCGTACATTGCACAGCTACATCTTGATAATGAATTTGCGTGTGGGGCTTGCATTATTTCACCAAAGTGGGTTCTCACCGCAGGACATTGTACTTATGAGTATGTAAATGACAAAACAGTTAAAGCACATTGATACAAAGGGACATTATGAATAATTACATTATAATTTATACATGGCCCACTAATAGATTTCATTATTGGAAACTATTTCTCCTTCAATTCATCATCATCATGATAAGGTCGTCAGTCCTAAGACTGGTTGGACACGCATCTCCATTCTTTCCTATCCTGAGGCAATCTTCGAATTTCCTAAAGCTAGAAAAAAAAATCGGTTGTCTGTAAAGTCGGTTTACTGACGATAGTTGAACGTGACAAAGTCATAAAAAAATACTGATGGAGTGGTTTCATTTTTCAAAAGAAAATTTTAATTTTATTTGTTTGATACATATTTTATGTGGATATAGAGAAGGAGGTAAATGGAAATCACAATTGAATTGATCAAGTTACATTTATTTCTACCCATAAATACAATTATGTCAATTTTTATTTATTTTTTTTTCCAATGTACATAGTTTTTACAAGTATGAATGTGCTTTGAGTAATTGTTTTACAACTTTTATTTACAACTTTTAAACATCATTAAAATTTTTGTAACTCTAGCTTCAATTCGACAATATATCTGAACATATATTCAATATCGAAAGAATCATTACCTTTATCGCCGCAATTATCGTTGTTATAAACAATTGACACCACATTCACTTTTCACTGCACTTCACACTTGACGAAAACATGTAAATGTATTATTGTATAGCAGCTGTCCACGCGGACGCATCGCTCACTCAAGTAGGAGAGAGACAGATGTCGAACGCTGCCGAACGCGGAGGCCGATTGTGCCTCTTTGTCGCACGTTCCGCGCTCTCGCTTGCACTTCAAGCTTTAAATGGAACGCATCAGAGCGAGGTAACGCCGCATGAGTCATGTTTTTTCGTGCGTGCAGCCGGCTCCATCGAATTATAAGACGTTGTCACGTCAAAAAAAAACTTTTGGGTGTTTCATTCCCACCCGGACTATGCCGGAAGGTAGGGCGGAAGGCCGTCTTTTTTTCAGGAATCGTGGGAATGGGTTGGTGGTGGTTCGGGTGAGAAAGATGAGACGGACGAAATGAAGACAGAAGAGAATGAAAGATGTGGAGTGGAATATTACTGCCTCAGTATTTGCCTAGGTGATCCAAGGAAACCACAGAAAAACTTGGACCAAGGCAGATGGACCCGGAATAGAACCGGCGTCCTCCCGAATGCTAAGCAATGGTCTAAACCTCTAGGCCATGCCGCTCGGTTTAAAGCTAGAGCAACCCATATCCTTAACTACAGTCGAACCTGGATAAGTGAGAAAACTCTATAAGCGACAAAAATAGTCAGGTCCCGTCATTTTTAGCCCCGAAAACCTTTATGAGTGACAGTGTGAGTACCTCTTTTAGAGAGAGTCATTTTTTGCTTCTTGACCTCTATAAGTGACAGTTTCTTACTCTAGACCTCTGTAAGCGAGACTATTTACAATCACTAGACATGTGTAGCACACTTGTGCGCTTGTTCCTACCTGCTCATGGTAGGTACTCATCCTCAACATTTGGTTTCAGTTGATAACAACCATTGGAAAAAGTACGTTAGACGTTGTTCCCTTACAATGTTGAAGCGAAAAATTAAAGTGATTTCATTTTTTATAAAATTTATGAAATTGAAAAACATATTCAAAATTGTAAAAGGGATACCCAGGAAAAATTAACTGATTTCTTTAAATAAATAAAATACGTACCTACTTATAGCAAAATGTATATATACTTATGTATTACCTATTTCCTAACGCTCTAGCACCCTGTTTATGTTCGATTTTTGTTATCCTCTATAAATGAGAAAACTCTATGAGTGAGAATAATATTCGGGTCCCTTGGATTCTGGCTTACACAGGCTTGACTGTATATTACTGTTCGTAAATAGTTAAGGATGTGGGAAGTACCTAGTTTCAGGATGTGCGAGGATTGGCCTGANATAAATGAGATAACTCTATGAGTGAGAATAATATTCGGGTCCCTTGGATTCTCGCTTACACAGGTTTGACTGTATTTGCAAACAGTAATCTAATCTTGGTCTAGCTCTACCCCTCCTAACTTCCGTTTCTGCCTCTCATATGTCTCTAACTAGACCTTCATGCCCGAGAAGGTGTCCTACTAACCAATCTCACCTATTTCCTATTGACTTCTCTTCTTGAGTCCTCTGTTCTCTTACTCTTTCTAATATCTCTTCATTTCTAACCTTCTCTATATCCACGGCATCCTCATCATTCGCCTGTAACACTAGATTTCGAACGCTTCTAACCTTTTCTTTTCCGCCGTGCCCACTGTCCATGTTTCGCACCCGTACATCGCGGTGCTCCAAAAATACATCTCTAATAACCTTTTTCGTTCAATTGAAAGCATAAAATTTATTACTCTTCAAAACTTCATAGACCATATTTCCCCTTCCTCCTCTAAATGAGTATATTTAGTTAAATTAAAATACAGAACAACACCGAGCGGCATGACTTAGAAGTTTAGGCCATCGCTTAGCATTCGGGAGGACACCTGTCCTGGTCCAAGTTTTTTTGTGGCTTCCTTGGATCACTTAGGCAAATGGTGGGGCACTAATATTCCATAAATAATATTTCATTCTCTTCTGTCTTCATTTCGTCCGTCTCATCTTTCTCACCCCAACCATCACCCATCCATTCCGACAATTCCTGGCTGAAGAAGGCTTTCCGCTCTACCTTCCGGCGTAGTCCGAAGGGACTGCCCGTCCCCCAGCATTACTGACTGGTGGGAATAAAACACCCAAAAGTTTAAAGTATTTCATTATAGTTGTTGCAATTTTAATTATTCTTGGGTTTATATCTGATCTGAAATTGAGAAGGCTTGAGTACCAATTATTTTGTTGTTTGCAGGTATATGGAAAATATAGACAACATTATATTACATGTCGGTACTACTAAATTTGATCAAACAACAACTGAAGCAATTACTCTAGCAAAAGTATACATTCATCCCATGTACAACGACACAACGTTAGACTACGATATAAGCATTCTCCTTCTGAATAAAGATCTTGTATTTGGAAAAAGAATTAGTTCAGTTCCTTTGCCACCACCCAATGTAGTTTTACCTGCGGGAACTAAAGCTATCGTTGCTGGTTGGGGTATTTTAATTTCTCGAGGTAACCTTCCGACGAAATTGCAGGCAGTAGCCTTGCCCATTATTTCCAATGAGGAATGTGCTCGTCGTTACGTCGACAGTGACGAAACTTGGGTTTTTGATAGAAATCTATGCGCTGGTTATGAACAAGGAGGAAAAGACGCGTGTGACGTAAGTACATACATAGGAAATTAGATATTTCCCATGATAAGAAAGGGTGTAAAATAGTTAAGGTAAAACAGCTTCAAATTCAAACCGAATATTTGAACTTTCGAACAATTTAATAATTTTCAACGAGTCCCTTTATCGATGAAAGTGCTGGACGTGCATCGTGAACAAGTCGATATCCTTAATAAAAAAGAATCTTATGGAACACCACTCAAACAGTAGGTAGGCTTGGTTAGGTTAGGTGTGGGAACACTCGGTATAGCGAAAAACATTATTGTTGTGTATCAATTAAGTGTCTACATTTGTGCTGACTTAGTTAGGTCGCGACACACTGCGACTAACTAGGTCAACGACAAATACACACACAGATGTATTGTGCTGAAATGTTCCTTACCATATAAAACCATGTAAATAATTTAGTATAAATAGCCTGTAAATATTTCAATAAAATTAGTCTAACACCAGGCTCACTATNATGAGATCCAAAAAGATCGAAATCGCGATCCGCGTCTGGCAGTTTCGACAGAATACAGACCACTTCGAATTATTTTATACGTATTTATTAGTAAATATAATCACATATTTTTGAATAACCACTTAGATACTTCTATTATTCGGATCAAAATATATACAACTGTTGGATTTGTTACCGGAAATGTATAAAATCTAGGAATTGTATACAATTCATAAGAAATGTACACAATTTCGAGGCTATTTAGCAAATGTATAAAATATTGTTCCAAAGATTTTTTAATGCACGCGTAATGTATACATTTCCAAGGATATGTATGAAATTCCGATATTGTACCAGGAAATGTATAAAACTAATGCCATCTGTGAATAAAATACTCTAACTCTTAATACAATATTTGGTGACTTATGACATAAAATAGGCAATAATACGACAGGCTGCTTGGAGATGTATGCCATTGTCTGGTTAGATTGGCGTTTATTCAATGTTGCCCGCCGAAGGAGGCCTGATATTTTATTCACAGAAAGCATTAGTTTATTTTTTTATAAATGTATACATTTTCCAGGATATGCGTGTATTAAAAAATATTTAAAACAATATTTTATACATTTTCTAAATAGCCTCGGAATTGTATACATTTCCTAGGAATTGTATACAATTCCTGTATTTCATACATTTCCGGTAACATATCTAAACATACACATACAATATGCTTGTAATCGTTTTTTCTCAGATTGTTGTTTTCAATATTTTTTTAACTATTCATTTTTATGTTATAATTGCGTAGATGCTAACACGTTGTGCATCAGTTATGTATTGCAAATCAGAAGTATGTTCCGTTGCAGGGAGATTCTGGAGGGCCATTGACAGTGGACGGTGTACTTTATGGGTTAGTTTCTTCTGGTATTGGTTGCGCTGATGGCAGATATCCCGGAACCTACACTAGTGTTTCAAGTCTGCGCTCCTACATAGCATCAGTTACAGGACTTTGATTGCATGGGCTTCATAACGTAGTTTTGGGGGTGTAATTCATTATAATCAATAAAAAGCTCTTAATTTTACAATGTATATTTATTTAAAAGGCATTTAAACCCATAGCAACATAGTTTACCGAAATAAAAAATACCGATTTACAAAACTTTGTTTAACATATAAAATACAACACTCAATAGTTCTAGGGTTTTGAGATTCCTTAAATACACTATATAGGGGGCGCAATTCGTGATACGTCGTTTGAACACAGAAAACTTTTTTGTTAATCGCACTTTTAAATTTAGAATAACGTGCCAGCTACAAAGGAACTTTATCAATATACTGGCAGCGAAACGCGGCGTTGTTTGGGTTAAACTACATCGCATGTTTAATGGTATATAAAATATTTAACGATCCACTTTTTAACGTAGATAATATAGATTTCTATCGTAGATATTGAGAAACTTACCCCCGGTTTTCTGGCCGCTGATCAACGTAAACAATTTGTTTAAACTGATTAGAGCCAATCGCGTTCCGCTATTATTTAAAATAGGAGCACGTGAAAGGCTAATTTCAGTTGAACCAATTTGTTAACTTTCATCATCGCCCAGGAAATCGGCCCTTAGTAGTCACTGAATTTCGGTTTATATACCATAATACATCGAAATTTCTAGTACCAGAATATTCAACAATGACAGCTTGTCCTATTTTTTTATGTTTTCGATCGCTCTAGAATGTTGCAGAACACAAAATTATTCTCGAAAATGACAGACCACCCTGTACCTTTATAAAATTTCTTGATAATAGTAGATCGCTTTGGAATATTCCAGAATATTTGGACAAAATCTAGGAAATTCTAAAAATGCTTGATAATTAATTGCGGACATTTGAAACTTTCCAGATATTTTTAGAACTTTCTGGAACATTCCATATCGATTTTAACAGTTGCACACAATTTGAACTTTCTAGATCATTCCAAAAATTTTTAGAACATTCTAGATCGATTGTAACAGTTGCACACATTCTGGAGTTTTCTGGATCGTTTCAGAAATTTTTAGAACTTTCCAAAAGGTCTCATAAGTTAGGAAAGGACAGATGTATATTTTTTCACATTTTCGCCACCCACAACCACCCACTTCCACCCACCACGACTAAACTCCCTTACTTTCAGCAGGAAACCAAGGGGTATTTATCACCCCAACGGGAAGTTGATAGGAGTTGGCGGTAATAGAGAAAACCCTGTCTTTACGTAAGCACATTAGCATTTTATATATATATTTAGATAGATTTAGATTATGTAGGTTTTTCCTCGACAGGTAAGGTCCGTCACGTTGGTCACCAGATGGGTAGATGGTTTTGTCATCCATGAACAATTTTGTGATTATAGTCACCTAGTCACTAACCAACCGACGGTTGCTCATCTCCGGGAAGGAAATGGAAAGGTTGGAAGTCGGAAGGGGATTAAGTTGGGAAAAGGGTTGCGTGTGGATATATATAGATTGAACATTTATACTAGCCTCGCTTTTCTACTTCCGGAGATTACCCTGGCAACTATTTTCATAAACAAGTATCAATATCTACTTTATCATGTCGCGGAAACTACATTAGAACAGAACTACCTACGTTTTAGTTACTCTAGCCGACTAGGAGTAGCGCTAGAGGTAGAAACCCACACATAAGTATAATCTCTCTTATCTATGCTTACTCCTCAATTGCTGAGAAGGCGTTACTCTTATCTATGGCGTTAGACGGGTCAAGCATCGGTAAGTCTCAGCAAGGCCTAAATAGAATCCAGGTTTTCTATATGTGTTTAACTTAAACTACTATCCATAATCTGTTGGCCTACATCTTTTAAGGTTTCCACCTGTACCTCATGTATACATGGTGCCTTATTATTTTGAAACTTTCTAATGCTAAGTTAAACCCGTTCCTCATTATGGGCTATCTTCACACTGTCGTCCTAGTGAAATACTTCTCTTAACTCGGGCAGTCCCTCCGGACTACGCTGGAAGGTACAGCGGAAGGCCCTCTTCAGCCTTCTTTCAGGAATCGTGGGAATGTGTGGGTGATGGTTCGGGTGAGAAAGATGAGACGGACGAAATGAAGACAGAAGAGAATGAAAGATTATCTGTGGAATATTACTGATCCAAGGAAACCACAGAAAAATTTGTACCAAGGCTGTCGTACCTGAAATCGAACCGGCGTCCTTCCGAATGCTAAGCAATGGTCTAGACCTCTGACTATACTAATAAATATATTGGACAAACTAGATTTAAGCTGATGCACGGTTTGGTAGAGAGGAAAAATCTAGTGTTGCCCTACATATTCTTACTATTTGTTAAAGGCATTTTGTCGTCAGTTATTCCTACTGAAGAACATAATATTAATATTAATAATCTTAAATTAGTTAGGGAAGTTAGGAATAATTGTTTACTAGATAGTTTTAAAAGTTTGTAATATACATTTATAAAAATAAACAAATTTTACTTAACAATGACAACGGTCCTATCCTTAGATCTCCGCTATTTAGTCTAGTTTAATTATTTTTGTTAATGTTGTCAAGGTCCACTGAGCATCAACCTTATTGTCACTGAGCCATGTTCCTTAACCTTAACAACTATTAGTATAAATAAGGATTAGTTCCCTTTTAGGTTTAGTTCACTTCAGTCCCTGAAGAAGGTACCTTGTTACCGAAAAGTGCTTCGGGCAACTAGTGTCATGTTTTGACATTGGAGTTTGAGATATTTCGTTTGTTTCTCAATAAATTCTACACAAATACAGCAAAACGAGTTCACGTCATTTACATATTTCGGAAGACATTTTAACGTTCAAGACACACAAAATACGTCGTTTCTCTAAAAAATGCGTACACGTCCCAAGTGACTGCTCTGCCGCTTCCCGTATATGCCCGATATCCTCCGCAATTGTTTATTTTTGTTTATCGTTACATAAAGTGTAAAGGCAATTTTTTTTATATAAATTGAATTTCTGGTTATTTTTCGATGCAAACAGTCAGACAATATTCATTAAACAACAGGCACAAAAAAGGCTTTTTTTTGTTGACTTGTGTGATCGATTAAAATTTTTTTATTTTTTATTTTTTCTTTTTCTTTATAAATTTGATATAAAATTAAACTCAAAAAGATTATTTTCATATAGCCTTGAAAAAACTTTTGGAATAAATACTACAAACAATAAAATAGCGATCAGTAGCATCCTGGTAGCGACTTACAATATATTATGAAGGTCCTCCTGCTTATAACTTTAGTTTCCCTTCTTCTGGGTAAGTGTAATTTAGCACCTTGTACCTTTTGTTTTAATTGAAATTTAGTTGAATGATTTATGTTGTTGTTAGGAATCGGCGCCCTCGCTGGACAATTTGATATCGCTGAAGATGAAGTGAGGATTGTGGGTGGAAACGCAACGACTATAGAACAATTTCCGTACATTGCACAGTTACGTATTGATAACCAATTTGAGTGTGGGGCTTGCATTATTTCACCAAAGTGGGTTCTCACCGCAGGACATTGTACTAATGGGTATGTAAATGACAAAACGGTTGAGGCACATTGGTACAAAGAGACATAATGATTTTACATTACTATTTATCCGCGGCCCACTGATTTTTTACATTACTAGCTTTTTCCCGCGGCTTCGCTCACAGAAATTAATATTGTTCCTACATAAAACCATTTAACTCCCAATTTACCCTTACAACGTTTTAATTTTATGTAATGTCGCCATCTTAGATTTCAAATACAAACGTACCAACAACATGTCATCCTTAAGGGTTGATTTTTAAAAATTGCCAAAACACGTATTTGCTTAATTTCAACAATGAGCAACCTTCGATTAAATCCGAGTACAAATAAAATATACCCCATGGAAACGTTGCAACCTCTTTCATTTGATTAATAATATTAGATAGCATATATATAAAGTTTCAAGTAAATTCAACCACAAATAAAGTATGTCCCAAACAAAATTTGCAACACCTTTTTACCGCCCCCTTTGGAGGTTGAATTTTTTAAAATGTCGAGATAGTGAATAGAAATGTCAGTAGCGTTTTGTTATACCATTTTTAACAATGAACGGCTGGACTGACATTTTGACTGATAAATTTTTCGTTTTGCTGTCGGTTGTGCTTTCTTATACCACTTTTTTTCCACGGGAACGGGATAAAAAGTATCTTATGTCCTTCTCCTGGTTCTAAGCTACCTCTCCACCAATTTTTAGCCAAATCGGTTTTTGAGTGTAACTAAAACGACTTTCTTTTATATATATTGGGATCCGTCAAATGGGCATACACCATCTGGTGGCAAAATTTATAACTCGAATGAGGGAAAAATTTACATAGGAACTGTGCACGCAAATTGTAAAATTGTTTCTTAAAATAATAAAACACGTTAAAAAAGTAAAAAATTTTTTGATGATGGAGTCGTCGAAGTTTTCTTCTAAAGTTAAATCAAATAAAAAGTTAATATGTTCAGTGAAAAGCTGCAGTAGCACTTCAGACATAGATCTTCACTCTTCACCTACAATACATTAACTACTTTCCAATAAAAACTAACCGTTTTATATATGTAAAAAATATATTCGGAAAATTAGAGAAAAAAGTAAACTAATAGAAGCTTGGATGAAAGCAGTAGGTATCAAAGAAGTGAATTCCGGAATAAAAATTTGTTCACGTCATTTTAATGCACATGATTATATTTCAGCAAGTATTTACCATCAGCCATAACCTTAATATTTAAAACTAGAATCATACTAAAATTATAAAGTGAGAAATTATTTATTCCTGTGTAATTGATTTAACACAATTCTAATGATACGATATAAGTATTTTGAGGTTAAGAACCTACCTGCTGCAATACAACAAAGTTGCAATAATGTGTTTGCAACGTTCTCTTAAATCGGTTTTGCACGTGCAAGTCATTGATATGATATTGCTTAAATCACCCAGAATCACCTCACCAATTATATAACGTGAATCACTTTTTAAATCCGAAGTAAAAAGTAGACAGTAAACTTGACGGAATTTGAAGGCTAGCTTCCGGATTTGTTATTTCCGAATTTTATAATGTGATTGGCATTAAAAGCACGCTCACCTTCAACGAAATTTCCTTTCCGAGGCTTTGTGTCAGCCCAATCACATATTGTGTCAACACTTATCATTTTATCGTAATTTAAAAACTTGGAATTTGCACGGTACACTATAGGAACTACGATAAATTTTCCCTAATCGGCGCTATTTGACGGATCCCAATAGATTAGGATCTATTTTTCGCTCAATTAGGAACCTTAAATTTATTATCCTTCAAAACTTCTCGCTCCCCCCTCCGAACGAGCATGTTTATTGAAATTAAAATTGAAAACAACCCAGTGAGTAGCAATTTCCGAGGTATCTGTCGCTCAATAACAATCTGACCTCAACTTGCTCCAGCGTCCAACGGGCATTTTAATTACCTAGTGAAGGCTACTTCCACAGGGCTGCAATTTTAATTACTAATGATTTTATATTTACATTGTGCAGTTGAAGAACCAAAATCAAGGAGGTTTGAGTACCAATTATTCTGTTTTTCGTAGGTATACGGAACTTATAGAGAACATTACATTACGTGTAGGTGCTACCGAGTTTGATCAAACAGCAAACGAAGCAATTACTCTCGCAAATTTGTACATTCATCCCTTATACAATGAAACAACACAGGACTACGACATAAGCATTCTCCTTCTGAATAATAATCTTGTATTTGGAAATAAAATTAATTCAATTGCTTTACCACCACCCAACCTCGTTTTACCTGCGGGAACGTTAGCTACCGTCGCCGGCTGGGGTACTTTAACTTATCTAGGAGCCCTTCCGACACAATTGCAGGAAGTCACGGTGCCCATTATTACCAATGAGGAATGTGCTCTTCGTTACAATGACACCAACACCTATATTTCCGATAGAAATTTGTGTGCTGGTTATGACCAAGGAGGAAGAGACACCTGTAGTGTAAGTAGAGAAATGGCATTGAAGCAAATTTTATTATAATATAAAAAATATTGAATATAATATTTTCGTATCAAATTTTCACTGGGTAATTTCAAGGGGTGTCGAATATTTATTTTTTATTTTATTTTTGTCATACTTTCCATTTATAAAAGGAGATGTGCGTCAATTAAAAACCAACAGCGTTAGAAACGAATGTTATTGGATCTTTAAATTGTCAACGAGGAAACAAAAAGAAACATAAACGCGAAAGAAGGATAATTGTATTCAAATTGTAATTACATTCATCTACACTTATATATCAAACTTTCTAACCAGATCCAGACTCTAATACCGATTGGCTAATCTTTTTGTGTGTACTTCAAAGTTGTTTCCAGTAGAACTGGTATAGAATAAAATTAATAACAAGTATTGGTTACTCAAAAAAAAAAACTTAAAAACTTTTGGGTGTTTCATTCCCACCAGGCAGTAATGCAGTAAACCAACAGTGGAAATTCGAAATATTCAAAAACCATATGAATTAGGAATTAAATTTGGAAATTTCAAAATGTTTGGGAAATTTGGGATGATATTTGCGGAATCATGTTTCCAGATCAATATTTAGTGGGATTATCTATAACCGAATTATTTATTTTAGAAATTACTAACATATTCGTTCTCCCGGTGCTCTCCATATGCCGATCTCCGGTTTCCATGAATTTTTATGTTAGATGTAAGCTTCCACAGATGGTAACGTAGTCAAGCTTTTCAGGGATTTAATTATTTCGTTGGCATTCAGGAATTTTTGTTTGGATAAAATTTTATTAGCTTGAATCAGTCATTATGTTGACCAAAGCATACACGACTGTTGGATCCAAACATCTACTGATTTCTTCAGCGCATTCATAATATTTTTCCTCAAACTCAATTGTTTCGATACTATCGTCTACATCTGTATCTTCCACCAATTCGATTTCTAATTGAACGTTTTGGAAACTGTTAAAAATTCTATCTAAATTGGCCTTTCGGACATGAATTGAATTAAAATCATCACTATTAAACTCAAGTACAAAGTTCTTGAGTGTAGATAGTTGTGCTTTAAGCACGCCCCGTTGTTTTTTAAGCTGTTTTGACTGATCAGATATTTTGAATAGATTTGAAATTGAAGCAACGTTTGGGAAATAATGATAAGTTAATAAAGAGAAGACGATTCAAAAACTCACCCTGTGTTTTCCACAATATGTATGCGAACGCCCCTGATCTTCTGATGCGATGATTGCTATTTGGATTCCAAAGTCCACTGATGCGATGATTGCTGTATATGATTTAATTCACTGTTCGGTTTCGACTACGTCGTGAATTCTTCCTGAAGATACTCCAATTCTGTACCAATTTTCGTACACAAGCTGCTGCAATGTTAAATCTAGATTTTTGATGCAAAATCCTTCCTTTTTGTTTAATTCGGTTCGCGAAATACAATGCCCTTGAACTACAGCTCGTGAACGACGAATGTTCAAAATTATCCGGCTCGAAGGACCAATGTTTAGGCGTGAACTAATTTTTGTAAAACAGTGACAAAATTCACCTTGAAGCTGCACTGGCCTTCACACGCCAAATTAATTTTATGTGACTAGTTGTATGTTTAGATCATGAGAACTGGAGTACATTAGGGCGCATTCATATTCTAAATTTCGTGGCGATTTACGTTCGCAACGAAGGCGAATCAAGCGTTTTAGTGATGATACCACGTGAGCAGTTCCGCAAATGATCGACAAAATGCAGATATTTACTATGGCCTATTCATTAACAGTATCCTTGATGACTATAAAGATCATTCGTAAGGTCAGCTCTCATTGCGAACGCAAAACGTCATATTCTTATTTCCATTTCTTTATTGAAATACCGTCTTAAACCAGTTGTTCTTACGCAATGCAATTTATTAAGTGTTGCATCAGTTTTGTGCTGTATCAGAAAATATTTTCCTTTAGGGTGATTCTGGAGGACCACTGACAGCGAACGGTGTACTTTATGGAGTGGTTTCTGGCGGTATTGGTTGTGCTGATGCCAAATATCCGGGAACCTACACGAATGTTTCAAGTGTACGCTCTTTTATCACATCAGTTACAGGACTTTGATAAAACGTACTTTTAAGTGTGTAATTCGTTATAATCAATAAACTACTGATATTACAATGTATACTTACTTAGAGTACGAGAATTTTCAGGATTTATGTTTTCCAGCATGTTTTAAATTAGTCCACCTAAGGAGTATTACTTTAATACGTTTTTATGTAATTCAATAACAAAAAAATGGTCAATTTTTTTCGCTTCCGTTTATTTTTCCAAGTGCTTAAGAAACCGTAAACTATCAATAACTACAAGGAATTAGATTTAATACATAATAATACTCACTCTTAATTAAAAATTAATTCTTGTTCATTTACCGTAATATAACCAAAAAATTAATTTAGCACTATAATATAGTGAATATACATTACAGTATAATATATGAGATGACGGTCACTAACAGCTGACTGTAATACCGATATGCGCATACGCGCCTTTCTATTCTCACAGCCTATCGCTTCGCAAGACGAAACGTTGCAAAACGTGTCGTTTCATGGCCTTGACATTTTACTCTCATCAAGCCCAAAGAACTTTCACTTCAAAAAACTATTACATTCTTTTTTATTACAAATACTGCATCATTTCTTATCAATATTGAGATAACATTAATTCTCATCGAATAAAACACTCAACTGTCTCATTATTCTAAACTAAAAAAATTTAAGAAAATGAAATACCACATATATACATATTTTTTGTCATAAAATCCACTACATTTTAATAAAAGGAATTATATTTTTGCATACTTCGAAAAATATTATCTACTAATACTGCATATCCCTGACTGGGTTCATTGAGACGAGATTTCAAACAATTAAATGGAACTACTAAATCGACCGTATTTTACACATCACAATTAGTTACTGATTTTTTATGCTTTCTGTTAATTTTTTGTAAACGTTTCTAAAAATGCAGTACATTCCAGAAAAACATTTTAATTTCATATTTGAATGATATCAATTACTTTATTGATATTTTGCTTTCTCCGAGTCTCATTTTTTGTGCTTAATAAAAATTATATGTATGTTCAAATAAAACCAGCAAAAGAAAATAGCAATTGATGTCGCTACGCATCGTTATTGTAATAACAAAAAAAAATAACAAAACATTCTGCAAACAGTTCTAATAATANTGAAGAGTGAAGATCTATGTCTGAAGTGCTATTGCAGCTTTTCACTGAACATATTAACTTTTTATTTGATTTAACTTTAGAAGAAAACTTCGTCGACTCCATCATCAAAAAAATTTTTACTTTTTTAACGTATTTTATTATTTTAATAAACAATTTTACAATTTGCGTGCACAGTTGTGTTTGTTACAGATATGCGTATGCGCGCCTTTCTATTCTCATAGCCTATCGCTTCTCGAGACAAAATGTTGCAAAACGTGTCGTTTCATGGCCTTGAGATTTTACTTCCATCAAGCCCAAAGAAGTTTCACTTCAGAAACTTTCCTTTCTTCAGTATAGAAAAAAAAACAGTCAATAGTTTTAGATTTTCGAGATTCCTTAACTACATTATATAGCAATATGTTTTAACCAGTGATACACCAATGTGCTCAGGACAACATCAGCATCTTAAAAATATAACAAAAGCAATTTTCCTTGAAAAAACTACCTCTTGTCCATGCCGTCACCATACGGGAGCTTTCAGAACAACTACAAAGACAATGATACAAGAACTGATTGATTAAAACCCAAGCCTGAAACATAATGGATATATTGTAGATAGCTCGTTGTCTGCAGAAAATGGAGAAAGGATGTTTCGTTCCGTGAGCACGCCTAGACTCATCAGTAAGACTGACGACGTGCTATCGGCCTTAGACACCTGGAGATCTGTAGGATGTGTAGCGCGAACTGGCACGAAACAGGCTGTTAGCAACAGCATTTCCCACCCAGTTTCGAAGAGAGTGAAGGAAGAGAGACGATATCGAAGATGTTGAGTCGGAAGGCGAGAAGGGCAAAGTTGAGAAGTCGTCATGGATCTCCGAATTCTTCACGCTCTCTTTTGAGAGATGCTGAGCGCGTTGGTGTGCGTGTGCGCCATGGTCGTCGAGATGCGAAGAGAGATTCAAGCGCGATGGTGGAGAAACTGCGTTTGTGGGATTAGCAACGTTTGCGTATACCCAGCGTGGAGGATGTGCAAATAGGGAGGCTGCGTTTTTTTGTTCGTTGACGGGGTCACCAATGTAAATATCTTCTTATCTACAGAAAAGAGAGAATATATTTCGTTGTGAGATAGGGGTTATAAATGAAGAGATATTAGAAAGAATAGGAGAACAGAGGACCCTATGGAAGTTAGTAAGAAATAGGCGAGAAAGGATAGTAGGACACCTTCTCAGGCATGAAGGTCTAGTTAGAGGCATATTAGAGGCAGAAACGGGAGTTAGGAGAGGTAGAAGTAGACCTAGACTGGATTACTGTTCGTAAATAGTTAAGGATGTGGGATGTTCTAGACTTAGGGAAGTTCGAAGATTAGCTCAGTTTAGGACGGAGTGGAGGTGCGTCTCCAACCAGTCTTAGGACTGACGACCTTATGATGATGATTATACGAGATTTTTGAGATTAATCCATAGCTTTCATTATATCTGCCACTACTGTTAACTGATTAGTTCAAAAATTGGGAGTATATTATAAACATCACACCATAATCCACCGAGGAAATGCCCCACAACGCGAAGTCGACAGGGTATGAGGGATGTTTTTTAGGCAATTACCGTATTAACATAATTATAGACATCATTATCGATTTGGAGTTTTGGAAGTGTTTCTCCGGTGGATTGTGGTATATTTTTATCTATATGTGTAAATAAAGTTTACAATTATGTTAAAATACATAATAAGGGAGACATATAGATAATTTTCATTTTTCACCCCTGTATATATTTTTAATAAGGTATGACCGATATTTGCTTTTTCTAAGTTAAGACGTTTCTACCTTTTCTCTTCTTTATAATTTTGAATTTAACCACTAGGTTATCGTCGCCATCCGTATTTGCTCCTGAATAACTTCTACGAGTCCTTTAGTTGATTTTTATCTCTCTAAATTACCTGACATCTTTCACGTAAGACGCCTCGTAACGCGATGATCAAATCAACTATTCGCGACTGTTTAGCATAAAATTCTAGGCTATCCTCTGTAATTCTTATTGCCAAATCCAAAATGACCCGTTATTACATATACTCCTTCTTTACCTTCACCTACTATTACGTTGAAGCCTCCTACAACTAATTGGTTTTTCTGCCATCTGACTAAATTTAACACGTCTTCGATATTTGCATAAACCTTTTCTACGTTTTGATTATTGTCTGCACCATTACCGTTTTTAACAATTTCGAATATTAATTGAACATAAATATCCTGCCGAGTTTTTTGTAAGTGACTTCCTACACGTATCCTGCTTTCCTACACAATACAATTGCTACCCTCTACCCGTACTGTATGTATCATTCAAAAATCTTCACTCCGAAAGCCTCCGGCTTCTAGTCAGCGGACTTCACTAATACCTTCTATATAACAGGTCAATTGAAAAGTCCCCGGCCTAAAATAGTAAAACACATTTTTTTTGCAAAATTCGTTTCTTCTATTCAACATAATTCCCTTCAAGGGTGATACACTGATTATAGCGATCCTCCAACTTTTCGATACCATTTTTGTAGTACGATTTGTCCTTTGCTTCAAAATAGGCCTCAGTTTCGGCGATCACCTCTTCATTCGACGAAAATTTTTTCCCAACGAGCATTCTTTTGAGATCTGAGAACAGGAAGTAGTCGCTGGGGGCCAGATCTGGAGAATACGGTGGATGCGGAAGCAATTCGAAGCCCAATTCATGAATTTTTGCCATCGTTTTCACTGACTTGTGAGACGGTGCATTGTCTTGGTGAAGCAGGACTTTCTTTTTCTGCAAATGCGGTCGTTTCTCGGCGATTTCGTCCTTCAAACGGTCCAATAACGCTATGTAATAGTCGCTGTTGATGGTCCTTCCTTTTTCAAGGTAGTCAATGAAAATTATTCCACGCGCATCCCAAAATACAGACGCCATAACCTTGCCAGCCGACTGTTGCGTTTTTGCACGCTTTGGAGCGGGTTCATCGTGTGCAGTCCACTCCGATGACTGTCGATTGGACTTCGGAGTGAAATGATGGAGCCATGTTTCATCCATTGTCACATATCGACGCAAAAACTCGGGTTTATTACGCGTGATCATCTTCAAACACTGCTCTGAATCATCAACTCGTCGTTGTTTTTGGTCAAAAGTGAGCTCGCGCGGCACCCACTTTGCACAGAGCTTTCTCATACCCAAATATTCGTGAATGATGTGATGTATACGTTCCGTTGATATCTGTAGAGTGTCTGCTATTTCATTCAATTTCAATTTACGGTCATTCAAAATCATTTTGTGGATTTTTTTAATGTTTTCGTCCGTAACAGCCTCTTTTGGGCGTCCACTGCGTTCACCGTCTTCGGTGCTCATTTCACCACGTCTAAACTTAGCATACCAATCCTTGATGGTTGATTTTCCTGGGGCAGTGTCCGGAAATTCGTTATCAAGCCAAGTTTTTGCTTCAACTGTATTTTTTCCCTTCAAAAAGCAATATTTTATCAACACGCGAAATTCCTTTTTATCCATTTTTTTCACAATAACAAAAGTTGCTTCACTAAAAATGCTATAATTCACAAACTAATGATCCGACAGCCGTCAAATTTATAGACGCGTCTTTTGAAGGTTAGGACTAACTGAAAATCATATGGATTTAGTTCTGGTGCCGCCATCTATGTGTCAGGCCGGGGACTTTTCAATTGACCCTAGTATGTAAGTGTGGCCTATTCATTTCAATTTTTAAATTTTCGCATTTGCATTAGATATCTAACGTTCCATGCTTCGATTCGTGAAATACTACTATTACTTCTATTACACTCCTCAATGACAAGTAGTCCCCATCCGAAAATCCGAATGGGGGACTATTTGACTTCCGGTATCTTTTAGCCTAGCGGACGCCATCATTTGAGTTTCATTTTGTTGTACTCGGGATATCATATTGTGGTTGTTTCCCGTTGGTGTTATGTATCAGTGTCATACTTTGCCACCCTGTCGTCTTACATCGACTTCTCATAGTTGTATCAGATATTTTTGAACAAATCTTTATCCATTTGGATTCTCTTATTGCTTGCATCAAATCGCACAAATCCAAACACATACAGTTTGTCCACATTTCCGTGCTCATCATTGACATGTGTAGGATAATTTAGGGTGATATGGACGTATTGTTTTTAAGGTAGAATTTTATATAATTATTACAAAAAGAAATGAAAATCTGTTCTTTATTATTAATCTTTTATCAATCAACTTTGGTTTTACAGACTTAGGTGACGATTTATCAATTAACATTTTAGTAATTAAATTAAAAAAAAAAATAAGTCAGTGGCCATCTTATCCGAAAAATTTTCATTCTATTGTTTCATTTCAAAAGTCGCCCATCGGCCATTTTAGTCGCCGAGCCTTGTCAAAAGTAGCCTAAATGGCGATAAGTCGCCGCATCTGGCAACCCTGCCACTACCTCACTCGTAACATTGCGAAACTAATACAACTCCATCTCACAGGATGGCGCTGCCAAGAAGGGTCGCGCTCACACAACAAGTATTATTCTTATTATTAAATGAATTGCACAAGTCAACACGAATTTGGTGTCTGAGTTCTGTGTACCCGATTTTGATTTTTTATACCTAATTAATAAAAGAAATAATGTTTTTATCTAATAAAGTTTGTTTTTGTAGCTATTAGAATGAAATTTCAAGTTTTTAAGAAAATCGTTGGTGTTTTTTCTTTAAGTTATATATAAAAAGAAAACAAACATTGATTTATTCATTTATATCACTTTTATTTACTAAAGACAATAGAAATAAATTTATGAATACAAAAAAGATAACAATTAAGTTTAAAAAATGGATACTGTTGGTATTTCTTCTGTGTACGGATCAACTTTCTCGAATCAACCCCCAAATGTAATCTCCCATTATGTTTTCTTTGTACTAGCCCTGGTAACGTTGGTCTAAGTGAGTATGTAACATATGCCCAGGAAGGAAGGAACAACGTTCCCTTTGTTCAATCCTGACTGTATATATATGTATTTTTAATTCTATAGTTATGTGGGAATTCACACGAATATTTCATCCACGTTAACAACATGTTTCAGGCAATTTTGATGTCTTATTTCGTTCAGTTTATTGCCCTTCAGGTACCTTTGTCGGACCCCTTGGGTCAAAATATCTGTACTTGTTAATTATTACTAGCTTGGTACAGCCTGTCCACCTTCTCTCCCTTCAGGAGGTCTGTTTATGTATTTAAGTTAGTTTTAAGTTGTACAGAAAGCATTCTAGCAGTATCATTGTAGACGTTCACTTTGTTCATTTTAATTCCTTTGTAAATATAATAAATAGTTTAGCAGTTTCTAAATATTTCATTCCAATCTTTTAACGGTTAATATCCAAGAAACAAAATATAGAAATAGTTACACCGAAGTTCTTTTTTAAATGGACGTGTCGTCGGTACAGCCTTCTTGAAAAACCGAAAAGTGCTTCGGACAACTGAAGTGTCGTGTTTTGACGTTAAGGCTTTGAGCTATTTTGTTTGTTCTACAACAACCGCCAAAGTTTTTCCAATCTCCATTTCTATACCAAGTATTACCCATTAAATTCCAAGAACCACAAAAAAAATTATCTTCACATCGCCTCGTGATTACTTGATAAAATATTTGATACCGATACGAATACTATAAATATCAAAATAACATTCATTATCGTTGATGTCCTGGTAGCGACTTTTATTTATTTAATTTATTATGAAGGTTGTTCTGCTTATTACTTTAGTTTCCCTTCTACTGGGTAAGTGTAATTAGTACCTAGTACCTTTTGTTTAAATTGAAATTCAGTTAAGCGGATTACGTTGTTGTTAGGAATCGGGGCCCTACCTAGACAATTTGATATCGCTGAAGATGAAGTGAGGATTGTAGGTGGAAACGCAACGACTATAGAACATTTTCCGTACATTGCACAATTATGTCTTAATAATCAATTTGCGTGTGGGGCCTGTATTATTTCACCAAAGTGGGTTCTCACCGCAGGACATCTATGGGTATGTAAATAACAAAACACTTAAAGCACATTCGTACAAAGGGACATTATAATTAATAACATTACCATTTATCTGCGGCCTACTCATTGATTTAATTATTAGAATCTATTTCTCTTTCATTTAATCATAATATGAAGATTGGAAAAACTTTGGCGGTTGTTGTAGAACAAACAGAATAGCTCAAAACCCCAACGCCAAAACATGACACTGTAGTTGGACAACTACAGTGTCTTGTTTCTGTTTGTTCTTCATTTAATCATCATAAGGTCGTCAGTCCTAAGACTAGTTGGACACGCACTTCCACTCTTTCCTATCCTGAGCTAAACTTCGCATTTCCCTAAAACTGGAACAACCCACATCCTTAACTATTTGCGAACAGTAATGTAATCTCGATCTACCTCTACTCCTCCTAACTTCCGATTCGGCCTCTAATACATCTCTGGCTACACCTTCATGCCTGAGAAGGTGTCTTACCAACCTATCTCTCCTTATTGAATTCCATAGACTCCTCTGCTCCCCTATTCTTTCTAATACCTCTTCACTTCTAACCTTTTCTACCCACGTTACCCTTATCCTATAACACCACATTTCGAACGCTTCTAACCTTTTCTTTTCCTCCGCGTCCACTGTCCATGTTTCGCACCCATACATTAATAACATTACCATTTATCTTTGGCCTAGTGGTTGATTTCATTATTAGAATCTATTTCTCGTTCAGTTAGAAACGTAAAATTCATTATCCTTCAAAGAACGTCTTCTTGCTTTCCCTTCTCTAAACGAGCATGTTTAGTGAAATTAAAATACGAAAAAACTCAATGAGTAGCCGTTTCCAAGGTATCTATTGTCTGTAGTTCTTAGGCTCTCACGGTCGGCGTATATCGGTTCTGTGTTGTCCTCCAGGCTTTTTGGGAATAGTCCGTGGAATCTTACTTTTCCAAACGTTTCGCCGTTGTTTGCTGACGGCATCTTTAGTGGTGACTGGGCAGGTGCTGAGTCGTAACTGATCAGTCAGCACTGAAGATGTCGTAAGCAAACAATGGCGAAACGTTTGGGAAAAGTAAGATTCCACGGACCACGGCCAAAAAGCCCGAAAGAAAACACGGTATCGGTATCTATTGTCGTTTAATTACAATCTGACTTCCAATTGCCCCAACTTCCAAGAGACATTATAATTACCAAAGGTTTCATCCACGTGCTTGCAATTTTAATTACTTAAGACTGTATATTAACATTGTGCAGTTGAATCAAGGAGGTTTGAGTACCAATTATTCTGTTTTTCGTAGGTATAGGGAACTTATAGACAACATTACATTACGTGTGGGTGCTACCGAGTTCGATCAAACAGAAAACGAAGCAATTACTCTAGCAAAGTTATACATTCACCCCTTATACAACGATACAACGGTAGACTATGATATTAGCATTCTCCTGCTGAATAAAAATCTTGCATTTGGAAAAAAAATTAATTCAGTTGCTTTACCACTACCCAACGTTGTTTTACCTGCGGGAACCATGGCTACCGTTGTCGGTTGGGGAATGTTAACCGTTGAAGGTGCTCTTCCGACACAATTGCAGGTAGTAACGTTACCCATTATTTCCAATGAGGAATGTGCTCGTCGTTACGTCGGCAGTAACGATACCTGGGTTTTTGATAGAAATTTATGTGCCGGTTATCCACAAGGAGGAAAAGACGCTTGTAATGTAAGTAAAAAAGTATATATTTCCATTCCCATAAATATTTGAATTTCTGAACGATTCGGTAATTTTCAACAAGGTCCTTTATCGAATACTTATCGAACTAAATCCATGTAGAATAAAGAGAAGGTATTCTGCCGATGTGGATCCTGGACAAGTCGATATCTTTATTAGAAAAGGACCTTATCAAACACTATTGAATCCTAGGACACTAACAACTTTTTTGAAGTCAAAACTTCTTTAGCGACGTTGGGCACTTTTTGGCAGGGGAAAATGTTATGGGTTCGCGTCACCGACATGCTCACGACTGGCGCACGCGCAGCGGCCGTGTGCTGTAGGCGTTAGACGCTTTTTGGATGGGTGAAATCTAGTGCGTTGGCGTCACCGACATACTTGTAGCAGTATATCTGTAGCTATACAGCTACGACGATCGATGCGGTTTTTACGCGATACTTAGATAAATTTCAATCAAACGTTTTCATTTCTTACTTTAGTTACCATAAGCCTATTGTATTTTTTTGTAGAACACAATGAAATAATTGAAAGTACAAAAAGTCTAAGTATTGTTGAAATTAATGATGACAATGATGCAAACAATGTTAAAAATCAAGTACATTGAAATTTATGTAAATACATTTCAAATTATAAATTAAAATTATGTTACAAAAGTTTACTGATACCAGAATAACTATTTCATCACGTAGTGACTTTCTCATTCTACCTGCGGCTATCACTCGTAATCAAATTATTACTATGGTGTCACATAAATGCAGAGGTTGTCTTCGTTATTTTAGACTACGTTAGTTCATTCTTTTGATTTTCATGTGAATAAATTTTCTGATATTTTTAATCACATTTGGCAATTTACTTAAAAATAGTTGCATTAGTTAATAATGTAATGGATTAGGTATTATACAAGTTCATGTTTAATTCGTTGATGAAACCTCAGTGGTCGAAGAGAACCACTTCCAATTTTTTTACAGTTGTCAACGAATATTTGCAGCTAGGCAACATTTAGACTAACGAACAGATTTCTTTTAGTTTGTATGACACCAATGCTTATATAAAAAATGCACTTAATTATTCTACTTGAACAACTTTTTGATTGAGAAATATGTGTCAGTAACAAATTCCTTTTTGAGAATGAGGATGGTACTAATCCTACTAAAAAAGCCATTTAAAAATAGGTACCATGCAAAAAAAAAATAAAAATTAAAAGGAATACTCACCCCTAATTACCACAAATAATTTTATATGAGCGGACACGTGTTTCGCCCACTTCATACGTGGGCATTATCAACGCGAGACTGGTTCTAAAATTTACAATTCTAACTATTTATAGTGGCGAGGGTTGAAGACCGAAAGAAGAAATAATGGAAAGCAGATTACATAAGTTTGAGAGGAAAACTTGAATACGTTCAATGCCATTTGTAAAATGTTTTAGAAGTCAATCTTTTGGCCATGAAAAACAGCTCTACAAATGTATGCTTCGATAAACAAGTGAGGAATTAGATTTGGAGAGAATGTGTGTGTCAATAACCGTTAGTACAATTCGTAAGGCCTTTATGGCCCAGTTTTATGTACAAAACGTATGCTTCATAACAACCTACCTAATCTGGGAAAAGGGGGGAAAAACAGTGAACGAGCGTGTTCAATACCCGCATTTCAAAGGCCTATTGGGCCTGTCTTTTACTGCGTATGCTTCAACAAACGAAAACTGTAAGGGAGAAGGTTTTCGTTTGTTGAAGCGTACGCAGTAAAAACAGGCCCAATAGGCCTTTGAACTGTGGGTAATGAACACGCTCGTTCACTGTTTTTCCCCCCTTTTCCCAGATTAGATTTTGTACATAAAACTGGGTCATAAAGGCCTTACGAATTGTACTAACGGTTATTGACACACACATTCCCTCCAAATCTAATTCCTCACTTGTTTATCGAAGCATACATTTGTAGAGCTGTTTTTCACGGCCAAAAGATTGGCTTCTAAAGCATTTTACAAATGGCATTGAACGTATTCAAGTTTTCCTCCCAAACCTATGTAATTTGTTTTCCATTATTTCTTCTTTCGGTCTTCAACCCTCGCCACTATAAATAGTT